CTTTCTTTCTTTCTTTCTTTCTTTCTCTCTCTCTCTCTCTCTCTCTCTCTCTCTCTCTCTCTTTCTTTCTTTCTTCTTTCTTTTTTCTATTTTTGGAGACAGTGTCTCACTCTGTCATTCAGGCTGGAGTACAGTGGCACTCCCATGGCTCACCTCAGTCTTGGCTTCCCAGCCTCAGGCATTCCTTCTACCTCAGCCTCCAAAGTAGCTGGGACTATGGGCAGGTACTACCACCACATGTGGCTAATTTTTAAGCTAATTTTTAAATTTTTTGTAGAGATGGGGGTCTCACTATGCTGCCTGAGCTGGTTTCAAACTCTTGGGCTCAAGCAATCCTCTTGCCTTGGTCTCCCAAAGTGCTGGGATTGCAAGCATGAGCCATCGCACGCAGTCTTCCCGTCTCTGTTCTTACTAGTGTTGCTGCTTTCCATGGGAAAGGGTCACCAAAGCCAAACTAACATTTGTTTCATATGCCTGAGTCCTCAACCCACCCCAACACCACCCACCTCCAGAAATGGAATCATATTCTTAACTTTCCTAGAACAAGCAATACTTCAGTACAAGAAAAATAAGCCTGAGCTGCCCAGTGCTCTTGCAAGATTGTTACCAGAACTGATTCACAGGGCTGATACCTGGGCAGGGACAAGAGGGACTAAGAAGTTGAAACATTCTCTGTTTTGGGAGATTTGCTGACCTCTTTATAACTGTCCCACTTCAGGACAAAATTCTCTGTGGGGGTAGAGGTGGCACCCATAAGAACTCAAAGTAAAGTGAAGGGCACTGTAACTGAAATAAGTTTCTAAGTTGCATTTATTGGGATGTTAGAATGGGTTTTTCTCATAACGGTAATCTAAATATCTCCTAGATTTACATTACATGAAAACTTACAGAATCCCAGCCTTATGTCTTTTATTTTGAAGTCAGTGTTAGAAGAGGCTGGGAAAGCTCCTTCCTTAGCCCCCTGGGAGGTTGGGATGATCTGGTGTTTTCTATTATCACACACACACTCCCTCTCTCTCTCTTTGTCTCTCTCCCTCTCCCTCTCTCTCTCTCTCTCTCTCTCTTCAATTCAAGCACAATGTAACTGGAATTGGTTCTTAGGGAGGTCTCCAAGTATTTTTATCTCCTCTAGATGTCCTGAGCTTGTTCCCAGAACCCAGTGGTTTTAGTCACTGGATGTTTTATCAGTGGAATAAAGACCTCTAAAGGTCTCTTTCTGAAAAGAATGAAATGTTAGTTGCTAGAGAAAAGGACAGGAACAATGTTTCTTTGCCCCAGCCCCTTCCCATCACAGTGTCTAATTATCATCTGTTTACTCAGAGTAAATAAATCTCCATCAATGGGCAAGGGTAATGAGGGCATTCATTTATAAGCAAGCAAGGGATGAATGTCTTTCCCAGTGGATGACTGAAACAAAGAAGAGAAGGATAAAGCCAGGTGGAAAATTAGCACTGATGTGAGTGAGACACAACTCCAAAGGGAAAAAAGCAAGCAAGGTATTTAATGATTTCTGTTGGATTGCAACTGGTTTTGCCAAATTATTTTATATATACTTGATTTAAAATATGCGTCTTCAAAAAATCATTGAGCTTTTCTTGAACCTCCTCCCATCCCCCAATGTTAGGGTTCAATTTGTTAAGCATTTGGGTACCAACTCACAAAACCACAAATGTCCCTGCTGAAGTTATTTTCAGTAACGGTCCATCAATAGTCTGCTTCATTACATAGTGTAAAGATGTGGGTGGCTCTTTTAAATGAGACCAGTTCAACCATTTTGTCTTAAATGAAATCTGATAGAAAGTGAGATTTTCCTCCTCCAGATTTTAATTAGTCAGTCTTTACAATGCTGCCATTTATTCAGCTCTAGTAACTGGAAATCCTATTTAATCAGACCTTGTATCCTTGAAACCCCCCACAGTGCTACCTCATTAATGAAACTGGAACCTTGCTGCTCTCATACCAGAATCCAGAGTTAACTAAACACATGCACACAGGTTACAGAAGAAAATGGGCCCACCCTTAGCAGTATAATTTCAATTGAAGCTGCCAAAGTTGCATGAGTTCTCTCTTCTCATGAAGGGTAGTGATCCCTAGGAGCAAAATATGGCACCCGGAAAGTAGCCCCCAAAAAGAAGTCTTTGCCCATGATAGTCTGCTGTCCTTGTCTTTAGATTACTTTTCTCTACTGCCACCCCAGTGTAAAGGTATGTAAGATCTTGACAACTGTGTGAGGCATTTCAGTGTGTAAACTCTGCTGTACAGGTGGGTGAGGTGTAGGTGTGTTCCCATGCTGTTCAGCCAGCTTAGCATTGATGTGGAGCCCAAAACAGTCCTGCAGAGCCTTACCCCATTCAAGCTCAACAGCCTCTCCTCTAGGCCTTGCTCCTTCTCCCCCTGTGGTTCTCACATTTTCTTCTGATCTTGGGCTTATACTGAATTCCCTTTCAGCTTCTTAGAGCCTATCCTGTTCGTTCTAGTATCTGGATAGGCATCAGCCCATGCTATGTGGGGAGCCCTCTAGAGTTTTCCCACCATCCCGATATCTCCATCAGCACATCCCAGATCTGGCATCTCACAGCTGTGCTCTTTCTGCTTTCTTCCTGTTTCTCGTCCCCTTACCCCTAGAACAGGTGAATTATAGAAATACCAGAAGGGACAGTAGAAACACCCTAAGCTTACCTTTTAATTTACAGATGACTGGTGCTCTATTTAGGGACTTCCTCAAGTTCTCATAGCCAATTAGTTACTCTAGAGCTTCCTGTTGGCAGAGCCCAGGACTGCAGAGCCCTGGGGGGTCACCTACCACACAGCCTGCCTACACACCAGTGACACACAAATATCATCCTTCTCAATGTACTCCATGACATGTGAATGGTTGGGAAGCACAGGAGAACAGAGCTTTGGGGAGGTGCTGACTTCCCATAGAGCTCTCTCCTCATCCTTTCCAATGTAGGTCAATGCTTGCTCATCTGTTTCCTCACTAGTCTCTCTTCAAAGTTGTTTTACTTTCTTTTTTTTATTCCCAGTTTCCTCTTGACCAACCTGGTCCAGACCCTGGCCCTATCCCCAGCATGGTTCTCCTGTTCTCCTCTTCAGGGAACTCTGTACCACCCCAGTTAGCAAGATAAAGGCAGCCACTGACTTCTCAAGAGTATACCACACTGCCTTACAACATATAGGCATGTTCTAGGCCTCATATGATGCCATGTCTAGAAACATCCTATCTGGGGCCTTCTGTACATCCGTGGTCACTTCCGTAAGGTGTGAATATTTAGGTCATATGGAGCTGAGAGATTCTGAGCAAAGTGGTAGACCCACTTTAGCTTCTCTCACTGCTCGGTGGCCCTGGAGCAGGATAGATTGGGCTGGCCTACTCCATGCATCCGCAAGGAGTGCTCTGAGGTTGTGCAGTGCTCAGTTAACTATTAATCTTATTCAACAAATTCTTACTAACTTCTACCAATGAGGAAGGCCTTTGGTGAGCTGAGCATACACTGATGAAATATAGCAGCCATAGAGATCTATCTGGGGCATTAAGGATGTGCTTTAACTTCTTTTATTTATTCAGCAAATATTGATTAATTTCTAACTCTTAAACCTTTGTACTAGGGGCTGAGGATGCAGTGGTGATAGGATGAATACAGTCTCTGCTTTCATGGAGCTTACATTCTAGAAGGGAATGTAGATTAAAAATAAGTGAATACACAAGTGAATCATGACAGATGCTAAAAGTTCTGTGAAAGTAACAAAATACTAAATTGGGAAGTGAGGAGATGAGTGGGAAACCCACTTTAGACAGAGTGATCAGGGAAGACTTCATTGAGAAGGTCCTGTTTAAGCTGAGATGTGAGGATGACAGGGAGATCATCAGATAAAGAATAAAGAGAGAACATTCTAAACATAATATAGCATGTGCAGAGGTCCTGAGGCAGGAAAGGTGTCACGGTGAGAGCCATCCCTATGGACACGTCCCGTGATTCTCTCCTTTCTACTTGTGCCACAGAGGCTACCTTTCAGAAAGGGAACAGGCATTTCAGTTTTCTGTGTGTGTGACAAATATTTTTGCTCATTTCTCTCTTCCAGAAATGGTTTAAGCAGCGCCTGGCGAAGTGGCGGCGCTCAGAAGGCCTGCCCTCAGAGTGCAGATCCGTCACAGACTAAGGAGATGGCAGGCTCTGACAGCTTCACTCCATGAAGGCCATCTGCTGTTTCTCTCCTCTGCTTAACCAAGCTGTTGTGGTTTTTCAGCATAGTGTTGTATGTTCCGTTGCTAGCTGTCCTGCTATTTAACACAGTGTTGTATTTTTTTTCTAAATGTACATAGTTAGAAAACAACAATAGGAAGCTACATGTATCTTCTGTGTAAAGCAGTGGCTTCACTGGAAAAATGGTGTGATTTGCATTTCCCTTTGAGTCATGATGACAGATGGTGTGAAAACCAGCTAAGTTTGCTTTTGACCATCACCTCCCAGTAACAATTTGCTTTCATAATCCATTTAGCAATCCAGGCCTCTGTTGAAAAGATAATATGAGGGAGAAGGGAACACATTTCCTTCTACACTTACTTCCCTAAGTCACTTTCCTTATGTTTCATCTAATACAATGATGGTTGAGTTAAAATACAGAAGGGGTGTTTGAGTATTCAGATTTCATAAAACACTTCCTTGGAATATAGCTGCATTAACTTGGAAAGAAGCCTGTTAGGCTAGAAGACAGAAACTCCAATTGGCAAAAAAGCAAGGATCTAAGAAAAAAAACCACCAAAGGTCTTGAATTTACTGTATTTAAATGCATTGGTTAGGTTTATTTTGCTAAATAAAGTGAACAACTTTTTGTCTCTAAAATGATATTCTAAATAAAACCTTAACTTTTTGTTGAAGATGCACTGAGTGAGTTCTCTGCAGGTTTTCAACCAAATAAGAAACATATCAAAGAGAAACAAAGTGGCTCCTATATGGTATGGGCTGACTGACCAGAAGAGCTGCCATTTTCTAAATTCTTGCTACTCAAAGTGTGGTCCAAGACCAGCCTCATCAGCATTAGCTTTAAGCTGGTGAAAAATGCAGAATCTCAAACCCCATTCCAGACCCAGTGAATCAGAACCTTCATTTTTAACAAGGCTCTCAAGTGGTTTATAGGCACATGGAAGTTGGAGCAGCACTGTTCTAACAAACTCTACAGTCAATTTGCATCCATTTACTATCATAGCACACTAGATGTCTGCTATGGCCTGAATGTGTCCTGTCCCCCCGCCCACCCCCATCCCCCACCCCTGACAAAATTCATATGTTGAAACTTAATCCCTAAGGTGATGATATTAGGAGGTGAGGCTTTTGGGAGCTGACTAGGTTATGAGGGCCCCACCCTCATGAATGGGATTACTGCCTTATAAAAGAGGCCTGAGCAAGCTTGTTTGCCATTCTGTCATGTGAGGATACATAGAAGGCACCTGGGAGGAATGGACCCTCACCGGATTGAGGGTTCACCATGGTCTGCTGGTGTCTTGATCTTGGAGTTCCCAGCCTCCAGAACTGTGAGCAGTAAATATATGTTGTTTACAAATTGCCCAGTCTAAGATATTTTGTTATAGCAGCCAAACAGACTAAGACACCATTTTAACAGTCTATCAGTTAAGATTGTGTTTGATTGCATGGAAGAGTAACTTGATTACAATGGATTAAGCAAATAGGCTTGTTTCTTTGTTCTCTTGTCTTTTCTTTCTTTCTTTTTTTTTTTTTTTTTGAGACAGAGTCTCACTGTGTTGCCCAGGCTAGAGTACAGTGGTATGATCTTGGCTCACTGCAACCTCTGCCTCTCAGGTTCAAGCGATTCTCCTGACTTAGCCTGCTAAGTAGCTGGGCTTACAGGTATGCACCACCACACCCAGTTAATTTTTGTATTTTTAGTACAGATGGGCTTTCGCCATGTTGGCCAGGCTGGTCTCAAACTCCTGGCCTCAAGTGATCCACCCACCTCAGCCTCTCAAAGTGCTGGAATTACAGGTGTGAGCCACTACACCCAGCCGTTTCTTTGTTTTCTTGATTGTTTTTACGTAAGACATTAGCAGGTAGGTAATCCAGGGCTGTTAGAGTAGCTCCCTAATGTTGTCAAGGAGCTGGAGTCATTCCATCTTCCCATTTTACTATCTTTAGTACACAGCTTTTGTATTCATGGATACCTGTTCACTGCATCTGCATTTCAGACAAAATGAAAAGAAAGAGGGAGGGAAAGCATAGGGCAAATGCCAGCTAAGACTTTCCTCTCTAAGAAGATTTCCTGGAAGCCCCCACCTAGCAACTTCCACCTACATCACATTGGTCAAAGTGGGTCACATGGCCACTCCTAGCTGCAAGGGAGTCTGGGAATTGGGGCATTTGTAAATGAGCATAGTACTGCCTTGAGCAAAATTAGGGTTCTGTTGGTAAGGAAGAAGGGAAAGATGGATATTGGAAAGGCTGCTAACTACATCTGCTAATCCAGCCTGGAGTGACACTGGTATACACTTCTGAACTCACCTCCAGTTCAGGAACAGTCTTTCCGTTTCTCTAAAATTAAGAACCCTAAAGTGGAAACACTAACAATTATTTATTTAGAATACAGATGTTTACAAGATCCTATTAAACATCCCTGGGTGAGCTTCCTCTTCCTGTATATTAAAACATTTCTTCTGAAAACAAATACATAGTGCACCAGGGTCTGAGCAAAACAGCCTCATATCTAGCAATCTCTCCTGCAACCTAAGTAGTGGTGAACTGAATTGTGGACAAAGCAGACTGAGTATGGTGATTAGTCCATGTCAGGCAATGAGAGGAATACTAAACCAGGTCTAAGATCCAGGTCAGAAGTCTTTCCAACACACCAGAGACATGATTCAAGAACAATCCAGAGCAACAAGGTGTGGTGGCTCACGCTTGTAATCCTAGCACTTTGGGAGGCTGAGGCAAGCAGATCACTTGAGCCCAGGAGTTCAAGGCCAGCCTGGACAACATGGTGAAATCCCGTCTCCATTAAAAATACAAAAATTAGTGGAGAGTAGTGGCATGCGCCTGTAGTCCAACTACACGTGAGGCTGAGGTGGGAGGATTGCTTGAGCCTGGGAGGCAGAGGCTGCAGCGAGCTGAGATCATGCTGCTGCATTCCAGCCTGGATGACAGATTGAGACCCTGTAAAAAAAAAAAAAAAAGAAAAAAAGAACAAGCCAGGACAAAACCAGCTGGGCAGAGAGTGTGCCTTTAGCTTGGACCCAGAAGCTCCATTTATGGTAAAAGGGTCAGTTCCTCTGCCCAGTAGTCTAGAGTCCTTGAATGGCATGTGATGGGAGGGAATGAGGGTTCAGTGTACTTTTAAATGCAAATATGTTACCAGTATAATCTCCTTGAGTTTGCTTTTTCAACTGTGAAACAGGGATAGCAATATTCTACTAAATTTTTAAAAAGTACTTTGTAAATAATCATAATAATTGCTACTGCTACCAAGTACTAACAGACAGGGTAAGGTTTACTTTGATGCCTGAGATAAGTCTTCACAAGAATGCAGAGCTCTAAGTTTTATTGTCAAGAGTCTCTTTTGGATACCCAGGGTCATACACCAAAACAATAATGACCACCCTAGACTGAGAAAAACTGCACAGTGCCCTCTCTCTCCACCTTGTATCCTAGGTGTGCAGTTGCAGACACTGTTGGTTAGCTGGACCCATCACCATACCCAAGCCCCTTCTCTGTAGTCACGTTTCTTTCATGAGACTGTAAGGGCTGGACACTAAATCCTCTCTTTTCCATTGTCCCTTGAGGCTGTGTGGTCCATGTGACACAGTCTATCCAATGAGGATGAGGCTGAAGGCTGGAGGACAAAAAGCCTTTGGGGAAGGCTTTTGCATTTCTTGATAAAAGGGACTTAAGCAGCAGGTTCTGTTCTTTACTCCTTTCTTGCCTTGTACCATTTTCACTTGTTCATTGTAGAAACAGAAATAAGCAAAAAAAGAAAAGAAAGAAATGATAAAACCAACAAAACTCATAAAAATTACACATGATAGGGCTCCAAAAATTAGGGAGAGGGAAACCCCTGCCTAATGAAATTAATAAATGTTTAAAACACTGTAAAAAATTACCCATGATTCCACCACATAGAGGTAACATCTTACTAATCTTAATATTATGCTATATCGTATTGGGGGAAGTCATGTTTTCTGTGCATAAATACACATGCAACAGGGAGAAGAAACTTAATTCAGAAGCTAGCAGCAGACTGAACCATTGTTCTGAGAGGATGGAAGGATGCTTGCTAAGGAAAAATTTGGTTGTCTTGTTCATGAAAACATCTTTTTTTTTTTTGAGATGAAGTTTTGCTCTTGTTGCCCAGACTGGAGTGTAATGGTTCAATCTCGGCTCACTGCAACCTCCACCTTCCGGATTTATGCAATTCTCCTGCCTCAGCCTCCCCAGTAGCTGGGATTATAGGCGCATGCCACCACACCCGGCTAATTTTTGCATTTTTAGTAGAGACGGGTTTTCACAGTGTTGGCCAGGCTGATCTTGAACTTCTGACCTCAGGTGACCTGTCCGTCTCAGCCTCCCAAAGTGCTGGGATTATAGGCATGAGCCACCACGCCCAGCCTAGGAAAACATCTTAATAGTTTTGGGGGCTGTGAAATACAGGTCTAGAAGAAGAGGAAAAAAGAACTCAGTGGCTGTGCACAATAAAATAGCATTTGTCCCATGGAGATTCAGGTAAGATGACGTTTAGGATCCTTGGGCACTTGGAGAAAGGAGAGGTGGAGGAGAACGATTTGGTAAGGGAGGGCAGGCACAATGTCAGCTGACCCAGAAGAGCACCAGTGAGAGGCTGGTGGACTGGGCTTAGGAACTTTGAAATATCAAATGTTCTGTTTTCAATGACTATCTATACAGTGCTGTGCTTGCTGTCGCTGTGCTGTAACTGATTTTTGCTGTCCTCAACCTTCCTGACAGCTCTGTCTCACAAAATGGCCTTGTACTGGTGACGCTTTAGGGAGTGGGGAAGGACCTGCTTGGGCCAAGCTTGCAGCAGGCAGTAAACAGTGAAAGTGCTTGCTTCTGTCTGCCTCTTTTCTGGTAATAGCACCTTTACATTTGGGGAATTACTTCTACTTCATGTGGTCCTGGTAGTCATTAATCACAGTGCCCCAGATTCCTCCCCCATGACAGTTAGACCCAGGCTGGCCAATGACAGTGTCATATTCCTTGGCATATATGAACTGAACCAAGTATGGGCTCTTGACCTCCCAGGTTCAAGGAATCCTACTGCCTTTACTTCTGTAGTCGCTTGGGCTATAGGCATGCACCACCATACCTGGCTAATTTTTTTTTTCTTGAGACGGGATCCCACTATGTTGCCTAGGCTGGGCCAAAGTCCTTTGCCAGAATTGTTGCAATTGGACTTAGAGGGATGGTTCTATGTTGTCACCCTTCATGGAGAGTTGTGAAAATGGAGGGCTGGGGTTGCAGGTAGCCTTCGACTCGGCCTCATGGAGAAAGCCGTTCTGTAAAGGGAGGGAAGGAAGCCAGGCAGATGGGAATGAGAAAGTCTTGAGGCCTTGGTTCCCACTCTTCCCTGGGCTACCCCAGCCTTCCTGGCTCTGTGAACTAGTGAATCCCTTTCTCGGTGTATCTGTCATTTGTAATAAAAAAAAAAAGAGTCCTAATGGTAGAGCAAATAAAGGAAGAGAGAAGTGCATGGAGGGAGGAATCTCAGCCCCTAGGGTAATTAAGAATATAGGGGAACTAGAGATTCATAGTAAGAGGTAACCAGAAGTAGCACTAGATTTTTCCCAGCCAATGGGAACTTGAGAAAAATTATTTTTACATACTAAAAGAAAAAAGAATGCCTGATAAGTGGATAATA